GATTTTTCCCCAGTGTCTTGTGGGTACATAATTCAAAATTTAGAAAGCAACTCCCTAGTCTACTTATAAAAATCAGGTGTCCTAAATAGGGCACTTTTGGCCAAACTCCTTCCATCTTCAGTCTAAGTACAGATGTTTTTAGTAATTCTTTGAGAATTTCGTTCAACACATTTTGGACATATTTATCCTACTCGACTCCTTCACTTTACCCTCTCAGCCCTTCCATTCCTTCCCACCTAACTCTGAGATTAAGTGTTTTCTTCCCCTACTGAATCCAGTTTGTGGTACCCACCTATTCTCGGGATTCACGTCTGCTCCACGGTATGGTCAGGCTATAAGGGGTCACATCATTTTTAAAAGACTGGCCTTCCCTCTCCCAACAGCTATCAAATGCTCACAGCTCTGCAGCTAGAGGTGACTCATGTGTCCTTCTGTCTGTATGGGGTTGTCTGGGTGGAGCCTCTGCAGGTCGTGTGCAGGCTGCCACACTCACTGTAAGTTCATAATACATTGGCCCTTTCGTGCCTGGGAAACAGTGTCCTGGAAGTTACCCATCTCCTTGGGCTTTTGCAGTCTTTCTGCCCTTCTCTTCCACAAAGATCTATGAGTCTTGGGGTGAGCTTTCAACCAAATTCAAGAATAAAATATACTTACAGTATTTTCTAAGTGCCTTCCTTCCTTCTTCAATTCTTGTCGTTCATCTATGTATCTGGGTATCCATCCGTTCACCCACCCGGTTTCCCTCATATTTCCATCCCGTCCTCCTTTTCTTCCTTCCTTTCCTTGTACTATTAAGAGGAGGCTTCTTCCTCTCCCCAGCCCCTGTAATCACCGTATGAGCTCTGCCAGTTCTGAGGAGACACTTCCACTTTGCTTCTTAGGCTCTTACTACCCAACGCCCTGGTGAATCCAAGAGTTGGGAAGTCTAGATTTTTTTTTTTTGGTGGAGTTTCATGTAGCTCAGGCTAGCCCCATAGGTAGCTGAGCATGAACCTCTTTAATCCTTCTGCCTCCATTTTCCAAGTCTTGGTATTACAGGCCTGAGCCACCACCCCTGGCTTCTAAGTCTAGAATTATTGCTACTCTCCTCCCTGCTCCAACCCCTGGTGACCTATGGCCAGGTCTTTAATTTGTAAGTCTGGGTTCACCTGTTTGGAAATGTGTTGGATAATATGTACCTCCTCCCTCATCGGGAAGCTTTAATTACTGTTTGCAATGTTGCTTAAGATGTGAAGATGAAAGGTACCTTTAAAAGCCCATGTTACTGGCACTAGTAATAAAGCTGAGGAATTTGTTTGCGAATTCACAAGGTTGTCTGTCATAGCTGGGAAAGCACACAAAAAGCTTGATTTTATGTGGAAAAACCTTGCCCTGAAGCCAGCCAAGGGGCCTGATGGGTATAAATAGTAAGGGCATGTTGTACCTTAAAGTACTTTGTAAATTCCACATTCTTGTGTGCTCCTGAAAAGACAGAGACCATCCTTGCAAAGTCGAAAACAAGGAGTTACCTGGGGTTATGCGACAGGAAGTCCAGGGGCCAATTTCTGACTAAGACCATACTCTGTTCTCTTCACAGTTTATGAGAAAAGCTTGGTTAGGCACAAGGCTTTTTTTATTATCATCAATACTCTACTTTTCTTTCTGACCATGTTTCTGTCAGAACCATAGCTAGGAAGGCCTCCTGGGAACCAGCCACTCTAGGGAACATTCAGAAGGTGCTAAGACAAAATAAAGGTCTAAAACTCAGCCTCAAAGCATCTCCCATCAAACCAGAGGATAAAGAGGACCGAGTGGCCTATATTTAGACTTTACGTCATCGTGCCCTGTTATTAATAATAACTGCCCCCTTTGGAGTGCCCAGAGTCCTTTGAAACACATTGCTTCTTGTGATCCACCGACAAAGCTGGAATTTCCAGCTCCGACTTAGGGACTGAAGCTGCAGTGACTTTCTAAGGGGACACAGTTCAAGTGATGCTCCTGGGATTTACACTTGGTATTGGGAACTGGGAAGATCTAAGAGAGTCTCAAGGAATTCCAGAGAAGGAAAACCTTGGCTAGTCTTACGGCAAAGATTTGAGAGGTGACCACTGACAGAGAGGAGGTATGGCGCAAAGGTCGTGGGTGTGGAGGCTCTGGTTTGCGCTTGACTCTCGATCTCTCTGTGGACTAGAGCATGACTTCATGCGCGGAGCTGCCATTCCCTCCTTTGTTAAATGGAGACGTAATAACAGTGTTTCTTTCTTCCCTGCTTGTGTTAAAGAGATAATGTACGGAGGACACAAGTTATTAGAGGTGAGCTAAATGACAAACTAAAGGACAAACTCACCTTGAGCCATGAAGCAACCATCGTGGAAGTTAAGAACAACAAAACCCTTTGGAGATAACTATGGGTTTAAATGTAGTTATAAGAAATCATTCTGAGCCGGACGATTGGTGGCGCACACCTTTAATTCCAGCACTCGGCAGGTAGAGGCAGGTGGATCTCTGTGAGTGCGAGGCCAACCTGGTCTACAAGAGCTAGTTCCAGGATGGCTATGGCTGTTACACAGAGAAAGCCTGTCTTGAAAAACCAAAAATAAATAAATAAATAAAACCACCCTGCCTGCCACTTGCTGCAGTTCCTACTCACCATAGTGGATTTTTATTCTTTTTTAACTATAAGGCAAAATAAATTCACAGGTTAAAAGGAAAAAGAGAAAGGAAAAAAGGAAAAAAAGAAAGAAAGAAAAGGAAGAAAGAGAGAAAGAAAGAAAGAAAGAAAAGGAAGAAATGAGGAAATATATCATTCCAAGAAACCCCTAATCCTTTTACTCCCACATAGGTAATATCTTTATCAGTATTTATTAATTTAAGCATAGGGTCTTGCTATGTGTTTTAGTTTGCTTCTCATTGCAGTGATAACCATCAGGAGCAAAAGCAACTTGGGAGGAAAGGGTTTATTTTAGCTCATAGTCTGTAGTACATCATGAAGGTAAGTCAGGGCAGGAACTCAAGGCAGGACTCTGGAGGCAGGGGCAGAGCTGAAGGCATCCCTCGGCCATGGAGGGATGCCGCTTACTGACTTGCTCCCCATGGCTTGCTCAGCCTGTTTTCTCATACAGCTCAAGATCACTTGCCCAGGAGGTATACTGCCCACAGTAAACTGGGTCTTCCCACATCAACCATTAATCAAGAAGATGCCGTACAGATATATCTATAGGTTAATCCAGTGGAGGGTTTCAGCTAAGTTCTTTCTTTCCAGATGACTCCAGCTTGTGTCAAGTTGACAAATGCTAACCAGCACTCTTTTAGTCCCACGTTGGCCTGAAACTCATAATCCTCCTGCACAGCCTCCGGAATATTGGGATTTTAGGCACCACGGGAATATAGGGATTATTACCACCATGCCCAGTTTATGGTAATACCACGTGTAACTATCATAACTAGGAACTTGACATTCTTATGGCCTATCATCTAGGTGTGGCTTATGTCCATAATCCCAGAATTTGGGAAGCTGTTGGGAGGTTGGTTGTGAAGTTGAGTACATATTGAGCTACATAACAAGTACCAGGCCAGCCAGGGTTATGTAGCCAGAGATATGGTTCAGTGGTTAAGAATACTTGTTACTCTTGCAGAGGACCAAGTTGATTCTTAGTACTCACAAAGTGACTCACAGGCATCCTTAACCTGAGTTCCAGGGGACCTGAAGGTGGTGACCTTCCATTTCTGACTTCCATGGGCATCAGCACTAGGCATGCAGGCAAAACACTCAAACACATAAAAAGAAATAAAAATTTAAAGATGAATGAAAAACCAAAAAGAATGAGTTAATGGCTACATGGATGAATGAATACACGCAACATGTAACACAATTTATCCATCTTCAGATTTTACCAGTTTTTCAGCTTTCATTTATGTGTTTATCTTTGTGCATCTGTATATTTATTTTTATAACTTTTTTCACATGTGTAGAACTGCTTGGCTGCCCCCACAGCTGGATACAGAACATTCCCACTGAAAGGACGCCTTGTGCCTCGTTTTACAGTCACCGCGTTCTGTTCTCCCTCCTTACTAGTGAGTGCCAACCTACTTACTGCCTTTCCAGCTCACATAAAGGATGCTTTATAAATAGAATCACACAGTGTATTGGTTATTTTTCTCAATGCTGCAGCAAAATACCTGACAAGAGCAAGCCAGAGATCGGAGGCCTTACTTTGGCCTCCAGGTCCGATTGCAGTTGGCAGAGAAAAGTGAATGCGGGTCTCAGTTCATTCCCTCCGTTACTTCAGGGTGGTGCCCCAGTCTATAAAGCAGGACTATCTGCGTTTAGGATAGGTCTTCACACCTCAATTAACACAGAAACTCGCTCACAGCCAGGCAGTGGTGGCACACGCTTTAAATCCTAGCACCTGGGAGGCAGAGGCAGGCGGATCTCTGTGAGTTCGAGGTTAGCCTGGTCTACAAGGTGAGTTCCAAGACAGCTAGGACTAACCAGACAAGCCCTATCATGAAAAAAAATTAAAAAAAGAAAAAAAGAAGGAAGGAAGAAACTCACAGAAGTTTGTCTTCTAGGTGATTTGAGAACTTGTAAGGCTGAAAATCAAGATTAACCTTAACACAGTATGTATGCTTTTGAGATAGGGTTTGTTGTTGCTGTTGTTGTTGTTGTTGTTATTTTGTTTTGTTTTCAAGACAGGATTTCTCTGTAGCTTTGGAGCCTGTCCTGAAACTAGCTCTTGTAGACCCAGCTGGCTTTGAACTCACAGAGATCTGCCTTCTTCTGCCTCCCAAATTCTGGGTTTAAAGGCGTGCATCACCACTGCCTGGCTTGAGATAGTATTTTTAATTTTTTTTTTGTTGTTGTTGTTTCGAGTCAGGGTTTCTCTGTGTAACAGCTCTGGCTGTTCTAGAACTCACTCTGTAGGCCAGGGTGGCCTCAAACTCATGAAGATCTGGCTGCCTCTGCCTAAATGTTGGGATTAAAGGCGTGTGCCACCTCCTCCCAGCTCATCATTAGTTTTTTAAATATGGAATACTTCGTGGATTTGAGTCATCTTTGGGCAGAGGACATGTTAATCTTCTCCATATTGTTTCAATTTTAGTATATTTGCTGTTGATGTGAGCATACTTTCATCCTTTAAAGAAAGATTTATTTTTAGTTTTTATTTAAGTGTGTGTGTGTGTGTGTGTGTGCGTGTGTGTCTGTGTGTCTGTGTTGTGCATGCCACATGTGCACTAGTGCTAGAGGAGGCTAGAAGAGGGTATCAGATTTGGAGCCAGAGTCACAGGCAGCTGCAAACTATCCAATGCAGGTGCTAGGGACTGAACTCATGTCCTTTGGAATAAGAATAGCAAGAACTCTTAACTGCTGAGCCATTTCTCTCTCCAGCCATTTATTTATTTATTCATTCATTCATTTGTGTGTGTGTGTGGTGGTAGTGGTGTGTGTGTATATGTATGGTGTGTGTGTGTGTGTTGTGTGTGTGTGTGATGTGGGATTCCCCTCTGTATGCTGTGAATGTGCTTTGTTATCATTAGTTAATAAAGAAGCTGTTTTGGGCCTCTGGCAGGGCAGAATAGAGCAAGGCGGGAATTTTCCAAGGAAAGATAGAGGAGAAAAGAAGGCTGAGTCAGGGAGATGCCATGTAGCTGCTGAAGGAGACAGACACACCAGAACATTACCAGTAAACCATGAGCCTCGTGGTAAAATATAAAATAATAGAAATGAGTCAGTTTAAGATATAAGAGTTAGTCAGTAAGAAGCTCTATAGGCTTATCAGCCAAGCAGTGTTTCCATTAATATAGTTTCTGTGTGATTATTTCAAGTCTGGATAGATGGAAATGAATAAGCAGCCTCCACCCACGTGTGTGTATATGTGTGTG